ATCACAGAAAAATATATGGAAGAGGGAGAAGAATACATTCCTGCATTGGGAATTTACTGAACAATGCGAACCATGAAATATAGCTTCGGGAGAGGGAGAAGTCCCTATTTGGCCTCCTCACCAAAAAATTGCATAGACCATCTACCTGCCAGTGCAAGATTGTTCCCTCTGCAGTGTGGACCTGCTTGTGTGGTCCTTTTTCACATGAAAGTCAATGGGAGTTTTGCTAAAGTATTAGCCCCACTAGCCTGTATATTACTGTATATTTATTTTTTGTCTGAGGGAAGAATGGTGTCAAAAATTATGGTTCCCCAGGATCTGTTTAGATGTGATGGTGATAAGTGGTCTATACAAACTTAGATAAATCTGTTCATGATTGATTTTAGTTCTACAGAATGCACACCACCTTCTGCCATCATTTGTGCTGGTGCAGATGGAGTGTGAAATTCTACCAAATCAAACTCAGAGCATTTTACACTGCTTTTGCTCTGGTGTAAATGATGACACAACATGCAGGGCAATGGAAAATCAGGACTCGTGTGTATATGTACGTGTGTACATATAGGCAGCAGGTTTAAAACAAACAAAAGGAAGTACTTCTTGACACAAAACACAGTCATCCGGTGCAACTCATTGACATGGGATGTTGTGAAGACCAAAAGTATAACTGGGTTCAAAAAAGAATTAGCTACATTCATGGAGGATAGGTCTATCACCAGCTGCATGCTAAGATGGTCAGGGATGTAACCCCATGCTCTGGGTGTCCCTAAATGTCCAACTGCCAGAAGCTGGGACTGGACAACAGGATGGATCACTCAAAATTTCCCTGTTCTGTTCATTCCACCTAAAACATCTGACACTGGCCACTGTTGGAACACAGGATATTGGCCTAGATGGATCATTGGTCTGACACAGTATGGCTGTTCTTATGTTCATAGCCATATGCATACACATATGCACAATATGTAGAAAGACAGCATGCAGAAAGCGAGAGGCTCTTTCCAGAAGTCCAATGGTGAAACGTAAGCGACAAGAGGAGAAGTCACTCATCTAAACCTTTCCCCCTCCTCGTGCCCTGTTTGTGGGAAATGATGTTTTCTCTGCACGTACACCCTTGCCTTGTTCAGTCAGTGAAAAAGAATTTAGCCAGCTTGAAGCAGTTTGGTTAGAGGTTTGCATACAAGCTTTTCATCTAGGCCTTTAGGCTTTAAATAAACAAATAAATGCAAACAGAAGACCCTGGCTCTGTTGATTCCCCTTGTCTTTCTGATCTGTAATTGCAACTCCTGATAGTGAGTTAGTTGAAGACTACTCTTTAGACTCTGGGCATTTAGGTGACAGTAGAAATAATATTGCTAAAATCCAGGGTTTCTTTCTTTTCAAAGTGCCTTAATAACAACCTTCTCTACAACAGGCCCAAGCAAAGGGACAGGAGTAAAGCCATGTGCTGGTGTACCTGGGTGAGCAGACATTCCATAGTGGTAGAAGGAACTGCAGGTTTTCTATTTACCCCCTTTATTTAAAGCAATGAGATCATCAAAACAACTGTTCACAGTCTCTCTGGAGTTCTAAATTTAGAGCATTTAAGATGATTTGTGATTCTGTTGCTGGGAAAGGGAGAAGTCGGGGAGGCAACACATGAGTGAAATATGAATCATGTATAACTGAGGGTTGTCTTGCTTTGCACACACAGGGAGTTCTGCTGGAATGAAGGTGCTGTCCAGGAAAGGCTAAAGAAAAACGGGACTCTCCTTTTTTTAGATCTAAGAAATTTGAATTAATTGAATTAATGTATTAATGTATTTATAAATTATTAATGTGACCAGGGTATTACAAAAGGATTTCCCTTGAAATCTAATCAAAAGGAGCCTAGAATGCTCTCAGTTTTACTGCGGCGGGGGGCGGTGGGGCTGTTTTTGGTGGGGTGAGAGACATGAAACAAAAATAAACTGAAAGATGGGCAAACCCCACTACAGGAAGGAGAACCCTGAACTTGACCTTGAACGGAGGCTCCCAGTGCCAGGGCCCTGCATTGATCCTTCCTGATTGGCTATCTCACTGGAAGGTGACTAACAGAGCCTCAAATGGGGATATTAAGGCAGTGAAATCTCTGTGGGGACTTATGAGGGAAAGGGTTGGGGGAAACCCCCACTGAGGCCTAGAAGAAGATCATTTTGACATTAAACCGGCCTCTGAATACAACATAAATTGGGTACAGGCCGAGGAGGTGGAAAGGAATAAAAATGAAATAAAATTGTAGATGAAAGTGTATTTGGGTCTTATCTATCTTCCCCTCTATCCTCTCCCCCTGCATCTGCAGTCCCTATTTATCTATGGGTTCCACCCCCTGTGCCCCCATGGGCTGCAGCCTGCCCTGGGCTCAGTCACTCCACCCCCTCCCCAGGGGGGAGAGGAAATTGACCTTGAGTCCAGAGCCTGAAGGTTGTTCCGGGGCATCAACTCTTCACACCAGCTGCTGAAGTCTCCCATAGAATCCAACCGGGGCCGGAGCCTGGCAGGTTTCTAACCCTTATGTTTACATCGAAATGGGGTGGGTGGGAGGACGTTAAAAGCTGACCTGCTTGGAATAAAATTGCAACGACCCTCGCCTCCCCCTGCGTTAAAAAACAACAACAACAAAAACAAACAAACAAACAAACAAAAAAACAAAAAAACCCAGCCCATCTCCTAGTGCCCCCTCCCCCATTTCTATATCTTACTCCTCCACCAAAGAGAGAAAGGCAGCTGGGTCCAGCTCATCCCCAGGGTCAGGGAGGTCTCTAAACCCCGCCAGGTTTATTCTAGTCCCAGCACCGCTCCCCTCGATTCAGATCCCTGACAACTGTATGGGGGGGGGGGGGGTCCTGCGTCCCTGCCTTGCAGGGATTAGCCTCAGGGGCCCGATCCTGTCCCCGCCGCAGCAGGAACGAATCCTACCCCAGCGCTGAAGCCAGGAGTCCTGGAGCTGCAGAGATGCGTGTCTCTCTCTAGCTAGGAGCCTTGGCCCCCTTTGGAGCAGTCCATGCAGGAGAATAAGCTTTAGGGGACTAGAAAGGGGGTGGGAGGATCTTTGTTACTGCGGGTTGATTCAGGAGGGATAATGATTTATTTTTTTTGGGGGGGGGATATTTTGGACTGAGATGATTTTTCCCGAGGGATCTGCTCCCTGCAAGAGAGCAGGGCTGTGCGGCTGGAGGGGCGGGGCTGGGGAGGGCTATGGGGAGGTGAGCTGGGGAGGGCTATAGGAAGGTGGGCTGTGGGTCTGATCGAAAGCCCACTGCAGTCAGCGGAATGACTTCACTCACCGGGCTTCGGATCAGGCCCCGGGAATGGGAACTGGAGGGGGATTTACAGCGTTTGCTTTCTGGGGTGCTGGAGCCTGGGGGTGGGGGGTGTTTACAGTGGAGCTTCTGGGGAATGTATGGGGGGGGCGAGCGTCAGTGGAGCAGTGGGGGGGGGGGGCTTTGTGTAGCCGCAGGGGCGGGGAGCACATCGAAGCTGCTGCCCCTGCTGCAGCCAGAGCCTCGAGGCTCCCCCCCGGGGGAGCAGCCCGGCAAGGTCAGCGCGAGGAGAAGCCAGGCGAGAAGGAGCTGGGCCGGGAGCGGAGGGCACTGCTCACACCCCTGGCTGCCCGGCTGCCGGTGGCGTGTTTGGGTGGCGGGAGCCTGCAGTGGAGTCAAGCAGGTGTCACAGGAACTGGGTGACCCAAGGCAAACCCACCCTCCAGGTTTGGGGTCTCTTTGCCCTGCAATGGAAACAGGTTATTCTGCCCGCTAGCCCAGTCATCCAGGGACCCTGCTCGGGCGCGCCAGGTTCGTGTCCCTTCTGGGGAGGAACCCGTTCCCTTTCTTCCACCTGCTGCTGAAGGCTTAGCCCTAACTAGACCGGACAGCGCCCTGGTCACCCACAGAAACACGCCCCGCCGCAGTGCTCGGGCGCAGGGGGAGGGGGTCGTTTTCTTTCGCTTTGTTTTAACTTTTTAAAAAAGACACCGGCGAATTTGGGCTCCAAATGCCAAGTTCGTCCGCGGGTCCAAATCCCGTGGCGAGTTTGAAGTTCCCAGCTCGCAACATCACCAATCTTAGCACCGCTCGGGTCTTTCCCTCTCCACCTTTAAACGCAACATCCCCCCCCGAAAAGGCCTTTCTAGAAAGGATTTGGTGCTACTAGGAAATGCGCCTGTCGTCCTAACTGGTACCCAAGGGAGGGGAAGTGCGCGCCCAGCGATGATGAAAGGCAGCCCTAGGAACGTGGAGGGACATTTCGTTTCCGTTTAAATGGACAGAGACTCCCCGATCAAAGATAAAGCACTAAAAAAAAAAAAAAATGGGAAACGAACAGCAGTTTAAATACGCTAAATAAAGTACCATTCTCGGGACACCTTGGCTAGACCGCTCGTCCCCGTTCTCTTCCAGAATATTTGGACAGAAATACAGCCCGATAGCGAGAAAGAAATCCCTGCTTAGCTTAAATCCAAGTGCCGTTTTCTACCTCCACACTAGAGGTTACCGACTGCGATAAAATAAAATAAAAATAATCATCTAGAGACCAAATGTACCAGGAAATTCGTTAACTGTAAAGGGGTGTGTGTGTGTATTTTTGTAGGTTTGTGGCCTCTACAAGAAACACAAAAATGTTTGGTATGAATCCCACCACAATGACCTTGACATCAACTTCCAATGGTCCTTTGACCTTCCCCATGAAAAATAGGTTTGAACTTTGTCTGCATCACCTTCCCAGCCTAAATATTTGGGAAAGAAAGATCCAAGCGGGAGATAAGATTTTTTTTAAAGCGATCTAGGTTTGGGTTTTCTTAAAAAAATAATAATATATTTTTTTATATATAAAAACCTGACTCCTTCCACCTTTCACGCAGCTTACCTGAGCCCTTCCCCTTCCCCAAACCAACAGCGGCCCATCTTTAAACTAAAAAAGAGAAGAAAAGAAGAGAAACTCGGGCGAAAAGTCTCTATTTGCAACAAAGAAAACGGATACAGAACACCACTGAATCAGCTTTTATTGGCGTGCCTGGTTTACAACAGCCCGAAATGAACCAAACCAAATGTAAAAAACCCCAAAGGTGCAAACGGCTTTTGGGAGCTGAAAAGATTAAAACAAATCAAAACCACACAGACACACAGACACACACACACATACACACACACCTCATGGACTGAAAACATATTAAATAAAGGGAGGGATTTTTAAAAATGGTTGCAAAAAAGGAAGCGAAGTTTGAAGACCTTTAATGCGTGTGTAGAGCAGACAACGCGATAAACACAGAAAATACCCGCTGTGATTGTATCCTCATAAACGGAGTATATAGCTGTGGATGTGGCTGTGTGTTAACGGGCTCTACACACACACACGTTTGATACACCTGTCCCCATACAACACCCCCTCCGATCGAGTGCTCCCCCAGAATTTAAGTCCACTCCGGTTTGTGTCGATTACACACCCGCCCAGCCCTCTCCATCCTGGAGCAAGCATCTTCCAGTGCCTGCGAGGAGAAGGGTTTTGACAGGTGCATTTCCTGCCGCTCAGACGAACTATTTCCTTTCCTCCTAGGGCCCAGCCTGGCATTCTTGCCACTAATAGAGAAGGGGGGGGGGAATTGGATCCGTGTGTTGCAGAAACCTGTCCCACACCCAGAGGAATTTTTGCAGAGGGGTAGCGGTGTTAGTCTGTATCAGCAAAAACAAGGAGGAGTCCTTGTGGCACCTTAGAGACTAACACATGTATTTGGGCATAAGCTTTCGTGGGCTAGAACCCACTTCTTCGGATGCATGTTAATTGTCTGTAATCAATAGAAAACCGACACCTTCTCCCCCAGCAAGGCCCTTCCTTGAAGGTGTTGGGTATAATTTGGAAGTGTGTGTTTAATTACCTTCTAACGACTGGGGAGGGGAGACACTCGGGCAGGTAATGTGCAATCAGTGACATGCCAAAGCGCTGCCTTTGAGCACCGCCAGCCAGGCAGAAGCTGACAGGAGTCAGAGCTCCCGTTCACATGGCTAGTCCAGGGGCCTCCATCTGCAATGAGAAATAACAGCAAAAACAAACAAACAGCGAATGAAAAACCCTTTCCGGAGCTGGGCGTTTGGAAGCCTGGGGCGCAACAAGCAGCCCCCCACGAGCGGGACGTGGGAAGGGAAATTGCTCGGGCCACAGCCCAGACAGGATCGGCCCCTTCCAAATCAGAGGCGGAACCTCTTTCTGCCCTGCCCCCGCAGCCAGCTGCACCCTGGGCTGGACCCGGGTCTGGACCTACCAGCTCAGGGCTCGCGGGTCTCACAGCGGCCTCCTTCTCCGCAGGGCGGCGGGGGGCGGGAGGGCGCTTGGCAAACCCAAAGCTCTGGCGGTGTCTAGAGAGAAGGCTGCAGGTGTCCGGCCCTGCCATCGAGCCAGTGATCGGTAAGACACAGGCAGCCGGGTTAAAGCCTCTGTCTGTCTATTGCTGTGGACTGAATGATTTCAACAGCCCCAAAGCTGGGGAGCCCCTCACTGCTGCTGCCCCTGTGTGGGGCATAGAAGGGGAGCGGATCCTTCTGAATGATGAAGAGATTTACACACGCACAGGCTTCAAACCCTTTCTAGTCTGCGCCCCCTTTGATCCCCCCCCCCCCCAGGCTAGGCCTCACTAGCTGACACCCAAGTGTCATGCAGGCTCCGTACCCACTCTGCTGACCCTGCGGCCTCCAGCGTCCTGTCCGCCCGCCTCTGTCTGTGCAATTCTTCATCCCTCTTCTCCACCCGCCTTCGCCCGGTCTTCTCCAGCCTCCTCTTCTTCCTATCCTGTAAATCATTTGCTTTGCATCCCCCCCCGCCCCCCACGCTCCTCATACACATAAACACACCACCTCCCCCCACGCCCAGCCCTCTCCTTCCCTGGGTCTGGGCTAGGGAATAATGAGGCAGATGATGGGTCACTTCTGGAGCGTAATTGGGACCTTTTGTAGCGAGGATGCATGGCTGGGGCAGCTGTTGGGGTGGGGGGGTAGCATTACCATACAAAGGAAACAAATGACATGTTTATCCTTCCAAGAGATTTACACACCGCCTGATCCTGCAGACATAAATCTGTCCCAGACACTTCTGATTTACATTATAAGGATTAAAGGGGAAAATACAAAAACAGGCACCGAAAAAGGCTTTCCCTAGTGGTCCGGCTGCCTCCTCCCCCATCCCCCTGAATTTTCAGCAAGTCATCCTGATCAAGATCAATTTAACATTTTAAAACAAACTATTTAAAACAAACAGGGGGGGGGAGGCATTGCACTGAGCAGCTCTTCCTTACGGTAACTAGATTCATGTCACATCCAGATCTCTGTGACAGCTGAATATTTGATTTCCCAACAGAGCTAACTGCAGTAAAAGAGCGTGTGTGTGTGGGGGCGGGGGGGGGGTCAGAGAGAGAGAGAGATGATGGCGAAGGGACAGAGACCTCCACACCACAGAAACATGGTCAAGGGGCTGATTTTTTTGAAAGAAAAGGTCCCCTCGTCTGCAGAAATGGAAACTCATTTGCAAATTTTTAACCCCCATGTAACGTACAAATACACAATTGCATCTGTCTATTAGTATTGCATATATCTATATATCTATATCTGTAACAGCTATGTAGATAGAGATAGACATATATACTTTACGTATGTGTAAGGCTCACAAATATGTATATATATGCATATTTTATGGCATATAGATGTATAATTTATTTGCAAAGAACAGATGAGAGATTGCATTACAGTTAGATTAGACAGACTCGGTGTAATCGCTGTATCTCTCTCTCTCTCTCTCTCTCACACACACACACACACACAAGCCTGGCGCAGCACCCTGCAGCTGCCTTTTCCTCTGCTCTGGGATCGATGCTATTCAGCCTCGTTCTTGGCATTCACCGCGTGCCTTAATTGTATGGACATTTAAATCAAGGTCCGCTGTGAACACGGAGAGAGGGGCCTTTCCTCGGGAGGAAGGAAGAGGAAGAAGGAATCAAAAAAAAAAAAAAAAAGGGGGGGGAATAAAAAAAAAGAGAGAGAAAAAGAAAAGCAACACCCCCCCCCCACTACCTCCCTCGCACCCACCGCCTCCCCCGCTCCGGGGAGACACACACAGACAATGGGATAACATGCCATGCATTTGAATGGTTGTCTTTGTTCTCCTTGCTCCTGTTTGCGGCGAGCCTCTGTCTCTTTTCAATTGCGGGGGGGGTCACCCTTCCTTCCCCTGTTTCTCCCACCCACCCTGCTCCCCCAGACACACAGACAATGAACAGCCCTGCAATGGCTGCTGCAAGGCTGCAGACACCCACTCAGCCAGCCGTGCAAAAGGAAGGGGGGGGGGGAAAGGAAGGGAAGGAGAGGGGAAAAAAGGGGGAAAGAAGGAAGCGATCGGTGGCTGCAGGGTCATCCCGTTACCTACCCTCTGCAAGGCACTGGGTGCGCTTTGCCGCAAAGCCGATGTGCTGGAATAAAGGGGCCTGGGTGAGAGTAATAAACCTTCCCCGTTTGCCTGCTGCAGTCAGTCCTTTCGCTCAGGTCCCAAGTGGTGCAAAAAAAACAGGAGCGGGGCCCATCTGGCTTCTCATCAGCTTTGTCAAGTCTTGCATACGCTAAAATGCTAATGACCTAGATAGCTCATGCAAAATGCAGCAGAGAGAGAGAGAGAGAGAGAGAGGGAGGGAGGGAGGGAAGAAGGGAGGGAGGGAGAGAGAGAGAGAGAGATTGCCAGGGTGCATTACAGACACCCTCTCCAAATCCCTTTCCAGCCAATGCACCTTACTAGGAATACACTGGGCTTTGATTTCAAAGGTCACACAAGTATAATGAGCATAGATCATTAAGAGAGAAAGAGAGAGAGAGCAACAGAAAGAAAGAGAAATAGACAAAATAGACCCAAACAGTTTCTGTAGCATCCACTCTGGTTACATACCTCCCTAAGGCAAAAGACTCCTCCATCGCGAAGAAGAAGAAGAAAGGGGGGGTAGATTGTATCCCCCCCTACATCCTGTCTATAACCCCCCACACTCCATCCCCTCGCCCCCACTGACCGCACACAGCCCCGTGCTCCCCTCTATACAAACCGGGGGGGGGGGGGGAGAGCCAAGCAGTTCCACCCCCCTCATCCCTCCCCCGGACCAGCTTTTACCTCTTTCGAGCCCCCTCGCCCTCTCTTTCCAGCCCGCGCCCGAAGAGGGATGGGTGGGTGGGAGGGGGACTGGCCGGCTCAGTGGGCGAGGGAGCTGTTGCAAATCAAATGCATTTTGTTTTACAGGTTTAAGCAAGCCTAGCCGTTAATCCAGCAGCTCATCCAACCCCCCCCCCCCCCCCCGCCCATGCAATCCACAAACACAGAGGCGCAAACTAAGCCCCAAGCTCCTCACACCGCTCAGTGCCCCGATGCACGAGGCTGGCTGTGTTCTGAGTTTCTCCATCCAGTCCTGGGGCTGGTGCAGAAGGCGAGCCAGGTATCTCTGAGCGCATAATCCCTTGGCTGTTTGGGGGTGGGGGGCAGACATGGGTGGGTAGGCTGTGTGCAGCTAGCAAACTGCAGCAGGAGCGAGTCCCGGGCACCTCCAAAAACCAGACAGATCTACACGAAGAAGAAAGATTAAAAGGAAAGATCACGGAAGCTAAGGCAAGCCTGGGGAAAGTCACTCCACCCAGAGCCAGGGCGCCACGGAAAGATGCTCTCCAAGGTGCAGACTCTCCCCCTAGGTAAAACAAGAGCAGCCTCTGGTTACATCTTAGCATGCATGGGAGGCGGGAGAAGAGCCTGGATCGGAAGGCAAAAGGCTGCAAAACAGAAGCAGAATCTATATTAAGGGGGGGGGGGGAGTCACCAGGCTGCATCGCGCATTTAGCAACCCACTGAGAGCCTGGCGCTGCCCGCAGAGGAGCCGGAGCGAGGACCGGCGCTTTGGAGAGGCAAAGAAGAGGCGAGCCGGGCGGGGTGTCATCCCATTTATCCTTAGCCAGCCCTGAGCTTGCTCACTGTCCTCCTTCCGTGATGTTGATCCACTTGTTTCCCCCCTTCTTCCCCCCCCCCCCGAAAGGATTCAGCCAAAAAACAAACAAACAAAAAAGACACATCTGCGGACTCCCTGCACCGAAAGCAAAAGGAAAATAATCCTCGCAATCAAAAATAATAATAAAAAATCCCCCCCCCCTCGCCCCCTCCAGCCCTCCGCCCCCTCCATCACTCACAGGCGCCTCACACTCCTTTGCCCCCATGTGCATCCCTCCTCTCTGTGCTGGGAGACGCTCCTTTCTTTATTTTATGCCCGGGGTGTTGTCCATGGAAAGGATGGTTTTCAAACCAGGAGCTGACAGAACATCAAAGAGCAGATTCGAAGGAAAGAGCCTCCAGCCCACCCCACCTCCCCTCCTCCTCGGCCCCAGCAGCAACCTAGGAGAGGCCATCCTCACTGACTCTCCTGCAGTTTCACCTTGCAAGAAAGTCACATGCAATGTCCCACCTACTCAGCCACCCACTCTGAGAGGAGAGAGAGAGAGAGAGAGGGGAGTTTGCAGCCCCATGGCTGAGGCAAATGAATGCACTGAGCCTTTAGAATTTCCCTTACAGATCACCATTAATTTTTGATTTTATTGATTGGGATGGGTTTGACGCAGCTGTGGAGAGCTGGGTTTATTTTTATGTTGAGGATTTTGTTTTGGTTCAGGCTCAGCCTCCTCCTCCTCCTCCACTCATCATCCATGGCTGATTTCATTGCCATGCTGCTGTAATTATTCTTATTCTTGTGACTTTGTGTGTGTGCAGATAGGAGTTTGATTGCTGCTCATGATGGGGGCTCGTGGTGGAGGTGGCTGGGGTTTGCAGCTGACATCACTGCAGTAGAGCTGACAGCTGCCAGGGCTGCATTCAGGCTGCAGTGGCTTTTTTAGCTTTTTTTGCAGCTTCTCCACTGACAATTGTCAGGGAAGGGAGGGGAAAAAATATCCCAGCTCACTGCATTCAAGGTGAATTTCAAGGAGAAGGGCACGTTTTGGCTCACGATAAGCTCCAGATGTACACTGGAGATAAGTAACACACACGTGTCTACATTGAATCACTGATCCTTCTTGTGTGCACTGTTCTAGTTTATAACCTTGTCTGCCTTATACAGTAGTGGCACCCAGAATGGGTAAAACAGGCTCTAAGTAAGACCGGAAACCCTTCACCATTCACAGGGTATCAAAGGGGTTATTCTGTTATTCAACTTATTTAAAATGTGTGTTGCATTGAATCACCAGCATACCCTCTTCAGCTACATAAGCACAAATAGATTGTTGTTTTCAAGTTAAGGCCTGGAAGATGCACGCAGTAACACTACAGAAAACAGGCAAGCAAGCACTGCACACCTTGAACACACACGCATGTGCAAGTAGCCAGTGGGTTACACTTACACCAGCGCAAACTCACGGCACATCCTGAACACACACACTACACACACAGAGTTACCATGTACAGCTCTTGGTTCCTTCTCCCTCACGGCTGTTAATGGCATTTTGTTTCCATTAATAATAAATACAATTATAATGATACCAAAGTTGCTGACATTTTCCTCTAACCTGATAAGTCAGAAGAGTTTTCTGGGAAAATACTTGTAATCAGACTTGGATAAAGGTTGCAAAAAGTTACCAGCCTAGGCACACAGTCTATTTGCCATTGAGCAGAACCCATCCAGTGTTGTTGTTAAGACCTGAAGAAGAGCTCTGTGTATGCCCCAAAGCTTGTCTCTCTCACCAACAGAAGTTGGTCCAGTAAAAGATGCTACCTCACCCATCTTGTCTCTCGTTGACCATATTGACAGATGAGGAAGAAACAAATGACATAGTATTTGCCTGGTAAAACAAAGTTACAAGTAGAATTCCATCAGGCTGCTTTAAGCTGTTCACAATTCAAACACACCGAACAACACACCTACACAAGCTGAGATTTTGAGTATCAGAAGCCAACAGTAATAGTGATGTGATGAGAATACTGCATTACTAGCTCCAGTTGATGTCCAAGGGCGTAATTCTGCACTCACACAGTTATGCACCAGTGTCATTCCATTGATTTAAATGAAGTTGCTCCTGATGGACCTGGAGTAAATGGGATCAAAATCAGGCCCAGAGTGTCTACGGCACTACATAATGTATAGGTTCCTTGGCATCAAATAAATGTTTCCTCTTGGGTTTATATAAAGATGGGTTATTTGCCTTAAAAATAAATATACACATCGTGTGTGAGATTACTGTTTGCATGGGTGCAAAGGAAGACAACTCCCCCCAGAATCACCATTTCTGCTCCTTTTAGCCATGATGCTTTGCCATTCTGGGTCACCTTCCCTCAAAGCACTTTGCAAATATGAATGAATGAAGCCTCACAGCACTGCAGTAAGGTAAATATGATTACTCCCATTTTACAGGTAGGGAAACTGAAGGACGGAGAGATCAAATGACTCACCCAAAAATGAAACAGTCAGCAAAAGGCTGACTGGAGTCTAGAACACAGGTTGTCTGACTGCAGCCCTTACTCACATGACGAGTCCTGTGCTGGTCATTGGCTTTACTTGTTTCTATTTTGCAGGTCTGGGTGGAATGCCTCAGATTATAAACCAACACAATTAATAGCTAAAATGTACCCCTAAGGACTTTTCTAGCTAACACCCCACCCTCACTGCCTCAAATATCATATTTTCTGTGGATATTTAGAGCCTACCCTGATAATGTGCTTGAAAATACATTATGGTCTTTTAAAACATAAATCCTTGGGGCTTAAGTGATGATCCATTCCCTCCCTGGGCCCCAAAATATTAACACATTAAGAAATTACACAATAAAACTCCTAAAGACCCAATTGGCCAGAATTCTCTTGGTCCATATGGCATGACATCTGTGTAGATTCTCTTTGAAAAGATGCTGCATCCCTTTTGCAAGCCTAATTCCGGCGATCCCTTGAGGGCTCATACATGACCTATGTATTAACACAGTGTGGGATGGGGAAGGGTTTCAAAGTGAGTTAAGATGGGTTTAGAATTGCTCCTTTTAATGACACTAGCAACCCCCCCTCCCACACACACACACACACACACACACACATGCAAAGCCAGATCTATGATTTGTGGACAACTGATGTATCCTCTGAATATCAATCATCTAACTAAATGAGACTCAATGTCCCAATCCTGCAACTGCAGCTCAGGGTACTCTGAATATGGCAGGATTGGGCCCTATTGGAATAATGTATGAGCAATTCACACACACACACAAAACCCAGTAAGATGAGCTCTGTAAGTATCGACAGTGCAGATGACTTTGGAAGAATCATTCACCGAGAATGTGAAGCAAATCAATGGCAATGTGTAAATTCTCTTTCGTTTCATCCGCTTGTCTTTAGTTGATGCTATAGTTTTGCCCCATGAACTATAAATTATGTTACAGCTAACAATTTACACAGGGCATCAAGGGGTGTTTTACCTGAGTAAGGAGTGCAGGATTGGGCCAGGTTATAAACAGAAAACGGTAACCTAAAAATAAATAATTCACTATGGGTCTGGTCCTGAATTCTCACTGATGACTCTGGGAGTTTTGGGCTACAAGCAGTGCAGAATCAGACCTTATATAATAATTTTTTATTTTTTTTTTGTTAAGCACCTGGAATGTGTTCAGTGCTGCACAAGAAACACAATATAGACAATCTGAGCACCAAAGAGTTTACAATCTAAAGAAGGACCGAAACAGACAAGGCAGGATGCACTGGGCAACTTGGAGGAAGGGATCTAAGCCCAAAGGTGGGACTGTAAACAAATAGCATCCCTAGCAGAGGATGATTATGATCCATTGGCTTCTGAGTTAGGGGCCAGCACTTTTATAGTGCAACAGATTTATTTATGTTTTAAAATAAAAAAACATATCCTGTAGCAACATACTCTATGCTAGCTTTTGTATTTAGAATTAATGATTCATTCTGTAAAAAGAATTAGCATAACAGTGAACATTTCAACCATTT